CTGTTCCTCCTGCTCTCTCTGGTCTACCTGACGTGCTGCTTCGGGAACACGGCGGTTGTCACCTTAGTGGTCCTCGATGTCTCTCTGCAGTCGCCCATGTACTTCTTCCTTTGTCACCTGGCTTTGCTGAATGTCCTCTTCAGCACGCTGGTGGTGCCCAAGATGCTCTTCAACTTCCTCACAAGCAGGAAGGTCATTTCCTACGCTTTCTGCCTTGCTCAGACCTACCTCACCCTGTTCCTCGAGTGCACGGAGTGCTTCCTTCTGGCAGTGATGGCTCTGGACCGCTACATGGCCATCTGCCACCCGCTGCGATACCTGCTGCTCCTGAGCTGGCCCGCGTGCGTCGCGCTGGCGCTGTGCGCCTGGGCGCTGGGTTTTTTCGCTTCGGTGGTGCCGCTCTCCTGCTTCATCCTCCCACTCTGCGGTCCCTACGTGGTGGACTACATTTTCTGTGAGCTGCCCATCCTTCTGCACCTGTTCTGTGCAGACACGACGCTGCAGGAAGCCATGATGGCGGTAGGGGGCGCTGGAACCGTGATGGTACCCTTCCTCCTCATTCTGCTCTCCTACCTTCGCATCCTGCTGGCTGTGATGAGGGTGGACTCCGCGGAGGGCAGGAAAAGAGCCTTCTCCACCTGCACGTCCCACCTGATTGTGGTGACCATTTACTACGGGACGGGGCTGATCAGGTACCTGAGGCCCAAGTCCCTTTACTCCGCGGAGGGGGACAAGCTCATCTCTTTGTTCTACGCAGTCATCAACCCCATGCTGAATCCTTTCATTTACAGCCTGAGAAACAAGGAGGTGCAGGGAGCCCTGGGGAGGGTGATAGGGAGATACCGTGCAGTGCTAAAGCCACAGGCTGCGCTCCTTAGACGTTAGCCACATGCCCACTTTCCTTCTTAGCATGCTCACATCCAAATTCCATCATGGAAATCCAGTCTGGCAGATTGGCAGGTGAAGATCACCACTGAATTTTTGCAAACCTTCCCTAGTGCTTCCAGCTCAATTTCTCCTCTGCAAATGGACATGCTAGGTGATCACCTAGGGAGTCTTGGAGCATTGCTCTGCTGGTTCGGATGGCATACCTGTGAACCTCCCTTAGACTCTACCCTTGCATAGCATTTGATTCCGTCTTCTCTGTCTTCCTAAGCCTCAGGTCTCGCTGAGGTGTGCATTTCTGTTCCCCACAGCAGCTGCCTGGTGGGGTCTCAATGTGAAGGTGAGTCTCAGCTCTTTCAGAAGCAAAAGAATGACAATGAAAATGGAGAAATCCATATTGTTTTCAACATCAAGAGATGGAAATATATTTAAAACTATTAATGATCATTTTTAAAGGAGCATAGATTCTGTTAATTTTTATTTATCTAAATTTTTGCCCATTTTGAATAATTTTAGAAAACTATGTGTTTTCCTTAACTTTAAAATGAAAAGAAATTCTCTATTCAGTTTGTTCCCTATCGAAGACAGCTCTCATAAATAAATAATAACAGTAATTCCATTAATTTACTTTTTATATACTTAAATAAATTTGCTACAATATAATAACAAATGTGGAATTTCCAAGGGCTACATACTAATTTGTTAGTTACTAAGATTGCTGACTTTGGAGGCAGACTGCAGATTTAATTCCAAATCACAACAATTAATTGTTCTATGTTCTTTACAAATAACTTCTCTGTGCATGGATTTCTTACTTGAAAGCTCAGGAAATGTCATGTAAACTTATGATTTTGTACAGGTAGATGAACATTGTCCCCTTAGACCCAATAACACTGATTTAGAACACCATGCAGTCTAGATCCTCTGCCATCTTCCATCTGCTAGTGAGAACAATTTCATACTGAAATTGTGATTGTAGTTCCACTAAATAGACATACTATTTATTTATTTATTTTGGTACTGGGGATTGAACCCAGGGGCACTGAGCCAGATCCCCAGCCC